CTAAAGAAAGCATATTGCTAAAAGGTTTATTTGGTTATTGGTTATTATATACTGTATATTTTACTGACTCTTTTACCTGTACACGTCAGCCAAGCACCGTTGTCAGTCCGACTGTAGTTGACACTGGAGCCACAGTGTGTGTACCGACACCACTCTTCAGCACTGCCTTGGTTGCTTTGAGCTGGAATCCACACTCCGTCCTTCTCGACTTCCAGATAACCAGAACACACATTTTCAGCTCTCCCTCGGAGCCGTATTCTCTTATGACCTGTATCAAACACATCATAGATTTCTGTTTTGGTCGACGATATTTTGAATTCCTCAAGTTTCACGTGTCAGTGTGTTACCTTGGCAGGTTACTGAAGCTGGGTGTCTGCAGTTTGATGACTTAGCAGTCACACACTGCCACAGATGTTCCAGATCGTCAATGTCAGCGCAGTTCAGCCCCCGTTTTGTGGATTCTTTCACGTTCATCCAGTGATCCACCTCGATAGTCTTGGCTGTACCACATCCAAGGCTTTCACATAAAACATTCGCTCCGTCTACCCCTTCATATGCATGCAGTGACATACGTACAAGTAGAGTCTGAATCTCAGTGCATGAAGTCAAACACTTGAGGTAAAATACAGTGAAGGAAGTTTCATTCTCACCAAAGCCTTCAGAGCAGAAGTGACCTGACTTTCCTTCGAAGGAAAACTGGACAATTCCCGAACAATTAGAGTGAGTCAGGGTGATTTTGATTTGACCTGAATATCAAGCACAGTATCAAGGACAAACTTAAACGAAAGATCATTTCCGAATCGAATGGTTAATTTTGAAGTTCTAGAAACAAGCCTTACGTGAACATTTGATCTTTTTCACCGTGTCCTTGCGGTAGAAACTGACCCCTTCACCTGGATACTTGCATTGCAGCAGGTGCATCTCGTTTCCTGTGCACACGACCTCATTGAGCCATACGTTTTTGTTGAGCGGCCGGAGCACATTTTCAGTTTGGCCCTCTACTGGGACCCCGCAGTCAGTGGCCCTGCAGACCACCTCCTCTGTGGTCCGGTCCCAGAACTGATCACCGACGATACCCCATTTACCCTGAATGTAGATTTCAACATGTCCTTCACACGGACCATTTCCACCCCTCAGAATCACACGGCCAGGAGAGGATTCTGGAGCGATGCATAGAAAGATGAATTGTGCGGAATAAAAGTATTATTATTGAATAATTTGTAACTTCGGTCTACTGATTAACAGATTCTTAAACAATTTGACTTAACAAAGTCAAAAAGGTAAAAACAATACAGACAGAATAAACTGATATTGCTGAGAAAAGAAATCTAAAATAAATGCATTCATTGAACAGACATTATTATTATTATTATTAT